TAAGAAAATCGTCTAAAAAAAGCCTAAAATTTTGACAAGATTTGAAAAAATTTGACCAATTAGGCTTTAAGTAATTTTCAAAGTACTCTCTTTGGTCTTTATTTTTAGCCTCTCACATAAAAACTAATTCCTCCAACAAAATTATCTACCATTTATATTAGATATATGAGGGCTTTCTTACTGCTTCTTAAAGCAGCTTTCTAGTAACAAAATTTTAATTTTTGTGCTAAAAAGTTACTTTAAAAAACAGTAAGAAAGCTGTCCCAAACGAACCCTTAATCTCTATGAGGTAAAGGAGGCTAAGGCTTCATTTTAGACGACTTTCTTACTGCTTTTAAGACAATTTTTAGTACAAAAATTTATTGAGGTTGAAATTTTGTACTAGAAATATGTCAAATGAAGCCTAAGTCATAAACTCAAGTTGATGGCACCCTCTACCCTATGCTTGGAAAAAAAAAAAAAAAAACAAGAGCGTCATATTTATCATATAGTAAGAAAAATTATTTAGTATATTGATATCCTAGTTGCATAAATATGAAGATACAAGATATAATTATGAGGAGATATTTGCACCAATGTGCATAATCGAAGATTGATGTATTTGCCTATATCATTCTTCATTTGGGTCATATGAAACATCTTAGTGCTTATTAGGTTAAGATTCATTCAAAATAAAATTATTCAAATAAGCAACTCTAATTTATTAATTAGTCTTAGGCTTCATTTGGTACAACTTTATGCTACTATTTTTTTCCTGCTTTTGGTACGATTTTCTGGAGATTTTTAAATTAAAAAATAACTTTATAAAGCAGTAAGAAATCCATAACAAACGAAGCCATAGTGCTATATGAGACCATCGCACACACAATATTATGCTTTCGTGATTGCCTGAAATCCCTCCGATTTAGAATGTGTTGTAGTGATCATGTTGACAACTTGATCATATTAAGCCACACTGTGGGTCAGGTTAACCATCATAGAATTATCGTCTTGTGGTGTAACGGAATTTCAGTAAAAGCTCTAACATTTAGTGTGTTCATACAAGGGAAATGCTAGATTGGGTGACCTCCTCATAAGTTACAGTAAAGAGATAAAAAGTGAGATAAGGGCATCTCGAACCGAAAATATCATTTTTCACTCCAAAATGCAATGGAACCGAAAAATGTCATGATTCATCTCCAATCGAACGCCATTTTGCCCCGTAACCGTTGTTCGCGCCTTTATTCAGCAACAGTAGAGACCAACAAAATGGCAGAGATGAACAGTGCAACGCCAATATTGGCGTATATTGGCGTCGCACTGTTCAAAATGGCATGAAAAATAGCGGTCGGTTAGAGCAGAGCAAGAACGGCAAACTAGTGTTTGCCGTTCCATTGGAGTTGCCCTAAGTAAGAGTTTTAACTGTTACATATTTAAACAACAAATTTTTTTTTTTTATTTATATACTCTTAAAAATATTTTATCTTGTCATCACATATTGGCTTCAATCACAAGTTTCATTGTAGCACTTAACCAAAGCCGGCCTACAGATAACAAAAACAAACAAATTAATTATATATTATTTAATAATAATACTTTTGCAATAATTTTAAAGGCCGAATTCAGAGGCCGAAAGAAATAGCCAACTGCATACATTTTAAAATAAGTAAAAACTGATTAAAATTTGTTAGTTTTCATCTTACATTTCCTTAGATTATCTTATTATAATGTACATTAAAGTGAATGAACTTTTAAAATTAATGGATGTGCTGATTTTTTTTATATACAAATGATGAGAAATTATAAATATATTATAGAGAGAGATAACAATCAAAATATTCTCCTCACTGTTTATGAAGAATCAAAATAATCTCAGGCTATTTATGTCTCATTTTAGTTTTTTTTAAATAGAGACATAAATGATTTAGCTAATTTGATCCGTAAGCTTTTATCACACTATGTGGGGTTGACTGTATGAATCATTTTTCTCTGTTGTGCCATATTAGAAGTTAAATTTTCATTTAAATTTAATAAAAAAATGTTGCTTCTTATACATTCTAACTAAGTCTTTTTAGGTCTATCTCTATGTTTTTAACATAAGCTAGATCCAATAAAACTATTCTCCTAATTGGGTCATCAAAAGACTGACATTTTATGTTAAAGATAAAAAAAAATTAAAAAAAAAAAAAATGTTAAAGATGAATGCTCGTTACACAGGGCTGCAAGTGAACCAAACGTTTGACGAGCTACTCGTTGTTTGGTTCGATTAAAGCTCGTTTGCGATCGTTTAATTAACTAAACAAACAAACTTGAACACTGATGTGTTCGGCTCATTTATGTTCGCGAACAACGTCATTTGAAGTTCGTGAACAAGCTCGACATTAAGCTCGATAAGAAGCTCGATTCGTGTTCGATTTTGAACTTGTGAATAAGCTCGATAAAAAGAATTAATATTTGACTATATAATTAATAAATATAAACAATCATTACCTTTGTTACATAGACAATTGTTTTTATTATAAATGTGTTTGTTCATAGATATGTTCATGAATGTGTTTGTTTGATAGTTAAAAAAATTTGTTAAATATGTTCACGAACAAGCTCGATAAACACTAAACGAACGAACATGAACTAAACATGAACCGAACATGAACACTCCTTTATTTAAATGAACCAAACATGAACACAAATGCTAAAGCTCGAACAAACATGATCCAAACTTGAACAAGCTGATACTAAATGAACACAAACATGAACACTCACATACTCGGCTCGGCTCGGTTCGTTTGCAACCCTTACGTACACTTGATTATAAGTACATCATTATTGTATTTTCTTAAGAAAAATTTGAAGGAGACTTAGCCAAATAAAATAGATCGTGCATTAGGTTGTTCTTCTTGTGTGAGATCATAAGGAGATTCAAGCTTCATTTGGGACGGCTTTCTTACTGCTTCTTAAAACAGTTTTTTAGTATAAAAATTTTAAATTTTAAACTAAAAAGTAGTATTAAGAAGTAATAAAAAAGCCGTCTCGAACAAAGCCTTACGTTTTGTTTGGGATGGCTTCTTAAAGCAGTTTTTTAGTATAAAATTTTTATTTTATTCACAAAAACTGTTTTAAGAAGCAATAAAAAAGTCGTCCTAAACCAAACCTGAATCTCTCTAAGGACTTGAATAAACTAACTTTTGTGTATGAAGCAAAAAAATTTTTTTTTTCCTAATGGTAAAGTAAGTTCATAAGCATAATTTTGGTGTGGATGGCTTATATATATATATATTTGTATTAAGCTCATGTGAATCATTTGACCCACTTTGTCTGATCCAATGTAAGCCAGATGGAAAACCTATCATTCTCCCTATCAACTCAAAGTCTTAAATCATCGTAATTTGGCCTTAAATTTAATATTTTTGGAATTACCATTATTAAATGGTTACTTTAATTGTAAATTTGTTAAAATTGGTATTTATTTGGTCATTCAATTAATTTTTTTAAAAAATTATATGTAATTTATGATATTTAAGATGGGCATTTCTTATCACAACTTTGGAATGTTGCAATCACTTCATTATCCAAAAAAATAAAAAGCTATCACTTTATGTTGCATTGTAAATGTGATTAGACATCATATTTTTACATCAAATGCCTACAAGGAAATTTAGAACTAATTATGAAAAAATAAATAAAAAATTGAGTGCTTAAATAAATTTGAAAACTTCATGGCATTAATTGCAGGACTAAACATCTCCGAATCTTATGTGTTTATAGTCAAATCTAGTAAATTGTTGAGAAGAATCTGATGAACCCAAGATTATTCAATTCAAAAGTTATTAAGACACGTAAATGCTAAATAAAAAGTTCTACAATCAAGAGGATCAACATGAGCTCTACAATGTAATTTTTTGGATTATGGCCAAATTCACTAACTAAATTGCCCCTCTAAAATAACTATAAATAGGAACTCATTTTCCACATTAGAGATGTTCAAGAGCTAAGATATATTTAGAACTCTATTGTATTGTTCGACGATCACCGTTGACGATCACAATAAGCACCTTGATCACGGTTGCCCGACTACTAACATCCAAAATTACTATTTGACTTCAGTTATTCAACTATGGAAACCTAACCTTGGTTACACTATTGTTGATCCAGTTGTGTTGTATAACTCTCTCTAACCTATATCACTTCTTAGGTAATTCCTATAGCAAGAATATGTCAACTTTTGTATATTTAATTATATAATGGACTATTGCAATTGTGTCATGCACTGCATTTTTCATATTTTTTATATTTTCTTCTATAAAAAGGATTCATGTAGACGACCTCACGTAGTAGCATAAAGGCTTGATTTTGTTGAATAAGAGCAAAAACAATAATTAAAGTAGTGTATATTCTGCGGATAAGATTAGAATATATATATATATTAGATAAATATGGTAATCATTTAAAAGCAAAAAATTCTATTTTTCGTAGTTTTGAAGATGATAGTTACTTTCTCTATCATGTAAAAATAAATCCCATTTATCATTTTTCATTCAGTGCATAATAAAGAAAATTATAGCAAATCATATTTACATATGCCACAACTTCTTAGGTCATCTCCAACCAAAAAACCCTTTTTCCACTCTAAAATATAGCAAAATTTTAAAATGCAGTAATTCATCTCTAATTTCTCTCTTCTTTTGGACGTTTCCTGCAAAGGTAACAATTTTCTCCTCACTTTTCTCCTCTTTCGCGCACTTCTTCGAAAAATCCCGTAATCCAATTTTTTGGTATAGGTAAACAATTCGACGTCTATATTGACATCCCACTGTTCATCTGCCAAACTTTAATGTGAGATTTGTAATTCTAATGTTGAAAATGATCTTAATCCCTCATAAATTTGTTTGTTTTATAATGTGCATTTAGAGTTTTCTAAGTTAAATTTGTAGTGAGAGTAGTACTATGGAGTCGCGCCTTATCGCGTTCTTTCCACCATGCTTTCTTTTACTATTCTCTCTGCTTGGGGATAGAGTCTACTGTTTCCGCTGAGTTGTGTGCTTGAGAGCATAAAGGTCCCACCTTGGCCCGTCTCTACTCTCGAATCCTGGAATCCACTAATCTAATCTCCTCCAGCAGTGGGAGTGCAAGAAAGAAACTGAAGCCAGCAACAAAGAACATTGAAAGCGATTGGAAGGAAGGAAATCCCAATCAAATAGCCGTTTATTTGCATATTTCCTTTCCGATCCTTCTTCAACTTAAAAGAGATTTCTTTACTCTCCTTATTAAAGTCTCAGCAAGCACTAGAAGTAATGGCCGTTGAGGGATTACCTCATCCGTTCATGTTTATAAAAAGGAAAGGTTCCATCTTTCCGCGTTTTATCACTGGTTTCGTTCATCTGATTTCCTGATTTCTTCTTCCTATATATCCGCCAAATATAAATTTTGAAGAGAAGCGGAGTGGTTTCTTTGCCCTTGTGTTCCGTCTTCTTCTTGTTTGATCTACTTTATTTAAGGATATTGGAGATCAGCACAGGGGAAGGGTGAAAAGAGACTCCTATGAGGTTGAATCTGCAGCACATTTCAGCGTTCTCGGTGTAAATCAATGGTGTTGGAACATAGAAGTTTCGATTCTGTTCAATCATCTAGGTGAGGAATCCGGTGCCTTGTTCTGGTTCTTTTTTTCTTTAGCTGGAATCGGCCTTTCTTTTTAAAGTTGCAGGGAATGCTTAACAGCTAATTCTATGAGCCAGGCTTTATATTTCTGTCAACTAATAAATCTCTAAGTCATACTTTGCTATCAATTTTCATTATTTTTATGTTCTGGTCTTTCGTGGTGGTTAGTCTAGCTTTGAAGACTTTGGTAGACCTCCTGTTTTATTCTTCTGTGCCATTTTTTTGCTAGATCTTCTTGAGAGCTCCATAGAAGTTTAGCTTACTTTTCAGTGCAGAGGACAATAAATATCTCATTATTGGTGTTCTACATGCTAGTATTTTTCTATTGAACCAGTACAATTTGCTTATCAGTTGGAAGAAATGTTATGTTTTGCTGTAAGGAAGAAAGCTACAATAAATTAGGCGTTAAGAATGTCAGATTTGTCTTGAGGTGTGATATTTTTATTCGTTGTGTACTCTTGATACGAAGGATGAAGAACAATAATGATCCTAAATGAGGTTTTCCTTAGCTGCCATCAGATGTTTGTATGGTTCATTTTCAGTACTTTTACAGCATGTTTTTTTCCTGCAATCCGGGGCAGAATTAGCCTTAATTTTTTGGGTGGGGCAAAACTTATAAGTAAAAGTGTAGATATTTCGCATATATGTCGGGACCCCAGGGGGCAGGGCCCCCTGGCGGGGTTTGACCTGCCCGGTCAGGTTGCGGGGTCAAGGGGTAGCGCCTCTGCGGGGGTAAGGGGGCTGCCCCTGAAACAAATTTTGGTTGCAAGAATATTTTTAGATTCTCTTTATTATTTTTCTTTGTATTTGGTTCATCATTCCCTAACAATAACACATCTACACAACGTGTTTAATTATATTGGGGGCAATTACCTAAAGACTATAGTATTTTAAAAGTTTTAGGGAGGAAATTGCCTAAAAATCATTGTAATAAAGACTTAAAAATAGATGGCAGGGGACAAAATACCTAAAATATCATATACTAATTTTTTTTTTTTCCGGGGAGGGGGCAATTACCCCCGGGCTTTAGGTAGATCCGCCCTGCCTGCGATTGTTGCATATTTTCTGTCATTTACTCGCCTTCTCTATCTGCTTATGTAAAATTGATTGAACTGCATATTCTGTAGAAGATCGTAACTTTTCTTTATTTTACTTCTTGTTTTCTGATTCAAGGTGTTGCAAGAATAAGTAGGTAGAAATAACAGAGTATTGAGGTTTATGTGATTGATTCTGCTTTCTCCATTAGTGAAATGGGAGCCACCTGTTTGAATGGTAATGAGTTAGACTCTAATGAGAAAGCTTCAAAGGATAGTGAGAATGACATTGAAGAATTCAGACAAGAGAGTGACAGAGATATTACTGCATTAGAACTTCAAATGGAGTTTGAGAAGATAAGCACAAAATTGCCTTTGGCCTGGCTGGAATCTTGTCCTTGTGGAAGTCATGTTGATCTTGCAAGTATTGCTAATTTACTTAATTCTATTAGAAATTTTGGATGGCACTCTTTAGATTCAGGAGAATATAAAAGATTATCCTTATCAAATTGCCCCTTGAAATTGAGATGGTCAGAATTTATTTTTGAAGATCTAAGACACCAGAGGAAAACAAGAAGCTTAAATGACCCTGGTAGCTTTTTCTCTGATAGATCAGTAATAGATAGCATAAGCAATGTAGTTCTGAGTCATTCTGGATGGTGGAAACTTGATGGATTTCAGAAAAATGCAAAGGCAATCTCTCTTTTCAAAAGATCGATATTTACTCATTTAAGTATTCTAGATGATGCCATAAACGAGTCTAGATCAAGAACACCTAGCCCTATGCAGAAAACATTGGAATTTAGCAGGTCATCTGTAAAGGTGGAAAATACTTCAGAAGTAAAATTTTCGAAGATGAAGCTCATTTCCTGTTCAAGTTCTAAGTCTACATTTTCATGCCAGTCCATTTCATCAGCCAATTCTTCTATTACCAAAGGACAGCTTCAGTGTTTTCAAAAGGGTGGGATGTCCTGCTTTATATTCTCATTGGATGAAGCCCCTCAAGTTACATACATGGCTAGTCCTCGGAAGATCGAATCTTCTGCGGAGAAAGCCATCGATGGCATGTATTTATTTTATTTTAAAGATAACAAGAACAGTGACTGCAGAGAGCACAGTATGAATTCCACAAGTTTAATTGCTAAAATGAAGGTTTCTAGTTCTATAATTCTGACACAGAACAGGGTGAAAATCATGGAAACTGAGTTCGTATTATACGCGTTGCAGGGAGAGCTTTCAAATAAGCTACAGAAATCATCATCTATTGTTTCTGGGAGTAAAGGTTTTACTAAGAAGGTTGCAGAAATGTTTAGAACAAGCAATATGGCAAAGATTAAGCCAAAGGATAAGGTTCATGAGCAAAAATTTGATGGATTGGGTGATATTAGTGAATCTAGTCCTGCTAATGATGCTTTTGATGTTCTTCTGCCTAATCTTGAGTTGGCTGCCATTGTTGTTCGAGAGTGCTTCCAAGATACCACCAATGGCTTGAAGTTTGGTGGTTGGGGCCTCAAGTTTCTTGAGAAAGCTGGTCAAAAGGTTACATCTTCAGAGCCTTTTCTTCCTCCTTGTTCCATCAAGAATCCCTGTAACAGAGATGAATCTGCGAAGAGCTTGAATGTTATAATTCCTGCTGATCTTCATGGTGGTCCGGTTGCTCAGCAAGGTGGCCCAGCAAGTATTATTGCCAGATGGAGATCTGGGGGTCATTGTGACTGTGGTGGTTGGGACATTGGATGTCCTTTAACAGTACTGAACCAGAGCTCCATTTATTCAAATGCTTCTACAAAGGACTCTGAAAAGAAGCCAGTCAATCTGTTTATAGAGGTAAGTCTGACATCTTCTTCAGTTGATCTCTTTTCGCATTTGACCACTTTTTCATCTTATCACAAATTTCTGATTAAACTGAGTTCATAATATATTAAGATTTCCTATGAACTTGGTTGATTTGAGCTTTTGATTCGCTCATTCTATATTTGAATTCTGAGTCATTTAATTGGTTTTTCTGCAACTTTGTTGTACTCCTATCTTATTTTAACTCCATTAATTGGGTTTTGATTCTGTTGCTTTGACAAATACAAATTCAACTTGTAATACCTCTTTGGATTTACAATTTCTGCTCTGTTGAACTAAATACCAAGTCTATTCCTGCACCTTTCTTTACTCTTATGCAACTCCTTGACCAGGTAAAAAGATTTTATTGTTCATAATTAGTTTGAATTGGTCTTATGTACTTTATTGGTAGCTACTTGCTGAAGAATAGAACTGTATCCATTTCATTGGTACAGTCCCTCTAAGGCTTCGCTTGGGATGGCTTTCTTACTGCTTCTTAAAGTAATTTTTTAATACAAAAAATAAAATTTTTCTACTAGAAAGCTGCTTCAAGAAGCAGTGAGAAAATCATCCCAAAAGAAGCCAAAATTAGCATAATTGAGGCTTCGTTTGGGATGGCTTTCTTTCTGCTTCTTAAAGCTACTTTCTACTACAAAAATTAAAAATTCTATACTAAAAAGCTGCTTTAAGAAGCAATAATAAAGCTGTCTCGAACGAAACCCGAATGAGAAATCAACTAAATTGCTGAGGAATAGAACTGTATACATTTTTTATTACTTCTGTTCCATTAAGATGTCTGTGATGGAAAATAAAGCTATTTTCCCATCTTTATAAAAGAAGAACATGGAAAATACTTGACGTAATACACTTAATAAGTGTCATTATTGCTCCTTAGCATGTGATTATGTCTCTTGTTACCATCCATTAGACCAAAAGAGAAATCATTTCTGCTCTCACTTTGAATGCAGATTATCTTTTTCAGCAAATGAAAGTGACAGACTTTTCCTTTTTCTTTTAACTTTTCAGCACAAAGTTTCTTTTCTTACGTCTGTTTATTCTTTGAACCAGCATTGAATGATCTTAATTCTGTTTGTGATTTTCAGGGCACCAAAAATAGTGGGCTTCCTACTCTTAGTATGATGAAAATTACTGAAGGTCTCTACTCCATTTACTTCCAATCTTCCCTTTCAATCCTTCAATCCTTTTCCATAGCAGTTGCTTCCATCCACAAAAGTTGCTGATTTGCTACCCAAATTATAGAGAAATTATCAGATGTGCAGATTATGTAGATAGTTTTTGGCTTCGTTTAGGACTGCTTATTTTCTGTTTCTTAAAGTAACTTTTTACTTGCTTTAAGAAGCAGAAAGAAAGCCGTCCCACACGAAGCCTCTATGTGGGGAAGATGAGAGTATGCTACTGTATTCTTGTTACATAGCTGGAGTACACAAGCATAGCAGTACACGACTTTGTACTTAGCTTCGTTTGGGACAGTTTTTTGTTGCTTTCTAAAATAGCTTTTAATACATAATTTTTTTAACTATAGAGTCATTTTAGAAAACAATAAGAAAGTTGTCTCAATTGAAGCATATAACGAATGCAAAGATGTATACTCGTATCTTTCACATGGAGAGTTATGTGCGTAGTCCGCAGTTTATAATTTCTTCAATTTACAGCTTGCGAACGAGGTTTTGAAGGTTTCTTGCATTTTCTTTAACCATTTGGAGGGGGAGGAGAAAATAGTTTGTGTAAGTAATTTCGATCATATTTATATATACTTTGTATTTTCTCATTAGTGATGTGAGAGTCAATATATGAGGAATAATTATTTTGTGCGGACACTGTACTGAGAGAACCGTTCAGTTTTGCTGTGCTTTTAATGTTTTTTTTTTGCAACACTTTTGCAAAAGCACAACGAAAGGCAGTAAGAATACATTTATAATTGATTATTTGCCGTTCTTTGCAAAAGCACAGCAAAAGGGCAATAAAAGACAACAAATTCAGATGATTCTCTCTGTCCGGTGTCTGCACGGAATAATTTCTCCAATCTATGAGGGCTTGGCTTTCTATCAAGCTGCTGCAAATGAGATGCAATCAACTGTTTGCTGACAGAGTATTTAGAAAATAATTATTTTATTTTCATTTGTTTTTGGTGTGCAGATGAGATATCACTTTTCATGAAGTTTTAAGAAAGATGAAATAACGATTTTATAATTGCTAATTGTTTGTGTCATGCGAAATTAATAAGTAATTAATTAAATTTATTTAATATTTATTAATTAATCGATGGGCAATGCTTGTCATGTTTGCGTTGGCATGACATGTGCATGACACGTGCAAGCGTGAGGATCACTATTGGCTCACGTGTCAAGCCCATCTGCTTGGATAGGCCATGTATGATATCATATGGGACCCATGCATCATGCAACTCAAGATTATGTTAATTTTATGTAACGTTAAATATCAAATTTGTTGCATGCATTTTAATATATTTATTACATTTATATAAACATTCAAATATTTGCATAAATTTGCATATTTGAAAATTTTTTTGGGAAAAATAGGGGCATACATGCCCAATTTTATTCCAAAAATATAAAGGTTACAAGAGTAAAAAGAAAAGTAATAAAGAAAAGCTAATCAAAGCGTAAGAAAAAGAAACAAAAAATAATCACTAAAAGAAAAACTCTCCCAGAAACAACAAATCTTAGGAGAATAAAAAAACAAGATAGTCTGCCGAAAAAAAAAAATGGTCGTAACCGACCAGCATCCACCCAGAAGACCAATAAAAAGGAGACTTCACAAAGAATCGAAGCCAACAAACTTGCAACAGCAACCAAAACTTCTTCTTATCTCTATCCTGAACCATTCCCGATTACCTGCAAAAACTAAACAACACAGTATTAGAAGAGACAAAAATTCTTACCAGACTTTATTCCATACAAACCCAGTAATACTTTGCCGATGAATATCAGAAAATCCTCCATATTACAAACTCCAGAGCGCAACCACAGCAGCCCAAACAAGCCGAAGACCCATCCTTCCCAACACTGCATCAGGAATACAAAATTCCAGCAATCCATGACTTCCCAACCTGAAGCAGAGGAAAAATTTCCTCAAAATAAGGGTTTTAAAGACCCCGGACTCAACGAAAGGGAAAATTTATATATTTTATTTCAATGGTTGCTAAATTAACCTTCCAACAAAAAATTGGTTGCTAAACTAGCCATCCAAGAGAAAAAAATATGAAAATGCCCAAACATCATAGTCCAATCAAAATTCCCACCTCCACAACTATATAATACTATGCTGAATTTTGGGGTAAGAACTCCAATTAAAAACTTTAGCTTGAACCTTAAACCTGATATGATTATAAATGGAATCTTGAGAGCTGATTTATTTATTCTCCATTTTTCTACAGTTCCTCTCTTTCCAAATAAAATAAAGAGAACAATAAATATATAAAAAGTAAAGGTTTTTGTCTTCTTTATTCCACTTCGAATTCCAAATAAATTCTAAAGTTTGCAGAAGATTCGGTCTAAGCATAAAGAAATTAATATTAGGTACAAACTTAGAAATAATCTGAAAAGAAAATTCACATTCAAAAAATAAATGTCTATGACTTTCATGCCTATTATTACACAAATTACAATTACTAGGCACCATAATATTCCTCTTAATCAGAAGATCAGCAGTTTTTAACCCATTCAACATAGCCATCCAAGTAAAACTAGAGAATCTTAAAGCATAATTTTTGTGCCAAACATATTTAAACCAATCAACCTTATTAGAATTAATAAAGAAAAAAAAATTCTTAAAAACCGGCAACTTAACCTTGTTCCAAGAGATAGCATAATCGGCTTGATTAAGAATAGAGATATTCAAAATATCCTGAGTTATGTTAGCCTAAATATAAGAGGGAATAACCCAGATACCATTTTCAATCCAATTACCCACCTCCTTATGGTGTAACATAGAAGCCTCATGATTAAAAAGAATGTCCTTCATAGCCTTTCCATTAATCCAAGGATCCCAAATAAGAGATAACTTACTGGAATCTACAACATTAAAGGAGATATTATTTTTAATATCTTTAGCAGTATCACACAGATCTTTTCAAAATTTAGAGCCTTTATGAGAGCAAGGCTTCCAACAAGAGATGTACTTAAATTTAACCCAAACTGCCAGTAGACTTTGATCATTAACAATCCTCCAAATAAGAGAATAATTAAAAGCAAATCTTAAAGCAACCAGATTAGAAATACCAAGGCCACCTGCAATTTTAGGCTTGCAAACATCCTTCCAAGCAATCATATGAATCCTTCTAACATTTATCTCACCATAAAAAAGAAAATTAGAACAAGCTTTTTTGAAAAAATTTAAACAAGCTTTAGGTAAAGAAAGCCCTCTAATCCAATAAGAGATAATATTAGAAATTGTAAAGTTGATATATTGCACTCTACCAGCAAAAGATAAAATTCTAGCTTTCTAACCTGCAAGCATCTCCATAATTTTATTCATTAAAGGTTGAAAATCACAAACTAAAAGCCTTTTACAAGAAATAGGAAGACCTAAATAATTCAAAGTATTATGGGAAATAGAAATTCCCAGAATATGACTAATATTATGAGCCAAACCACAATTATTAGAAAAAATCATGGAACTTTTACCTTGATTGATCTTCAGCCCAGAAACTTTATAAAAATAATCCAGAACTTCATTTAACATATAAGCATTCCTAATAGAAGTTTTATAAAAAACTAGAACATCATCAGCATATAATAAATGGGATATAGAATTCTCACCAGCCATAATACCTTTGAACTTAATCAGATTTGATTTATCTTCAATAAGATTTGAAAAATTATTCATAACAATACAAAATAGATATGGGGAAAGCGGACATCCTTGGCGAATACCAGAGGAAGAGCCAAAGAAATCGTTAAGAGCACCATTAAGAATAATAGAGGAATGGATATCTTCGATGCACTCTTTGACCCAAAAAATAAAGATAGGAGGAAAACCTTTTTGAGCCATCCTGTTAAAAATAAAATATCTAGAAACAGAATCAAAAGCTTTTTGTATATCTAACTTGGAACAAAAAAATTCCTCTTTGCTCTGACAATTAAAACCTCTTAGTAATTCCCCAGTCAAAATAATATTGTCAGTATATATCCTATTCTTTATAAAACTAGATTGACTATAATGAATAATCAAGGGCATAACTTCCTTCATTCTTAAAGCAAGAATTTTAGCAATAGTTTTATAAAAAACATTGCAAAGTGAAATAGGCCGAAAATCAGAAACCTGAGAAGCATTACTATTCTTTGGGATCAGAGTAACGGCTATAGCCTTAGCAGCTTTAGATAAGTAATCAGTTCTAAAGAAATATAATACTGCATTGCAAAAACTAGGTCCTACAATATCCCAACTTTTCTTAAAACACTCAAAATTAAAGCCATCTGGACCTGGGGAAGATGCAAACGATCTCGCAAAAACAACATTCTTAATCTCATCAATAGTAACCGGGGCAATTAAAGAAGAAATATAACCATCCGAAATTTTATTACCAACATGGATAGAAAAAGAAGAAGAGAAAAACGGTTTAGAAGTATTAAAAAGATCCTTTAAATGATAAACAAAAACCTCAGCAATCTCATTCTAATCAGAAATAACCACACTAGAAGAATAAATAGCCTTGATGTTATTCAAGTTGTGTCTATGCCAAATTTTAGAATACAGAAAACCTAAATCATCCTCTCCTTTGGATAACCAGCCAACTTTAGCTCTTTGCTGAATCCAAGAGGACCACAAAGACATATTAGAACTAAGAGAGCAATTGATATTCTTAAGTTCTTCATTAAGATCCAAGTTTAAAGGATTAGCTTGGATTTTAGAAATACAATCTTCCTATTTCTTTTCCAGATTATCAATTTTAACCTTGAGATATTGAGAAGAAACCCAGTCTTGATTCTTTATCAAATTCTTAAGAAACCTCAATTTCCCATAAAGAGCATTAACCAGATTACTAACAGGAGAACTAGCAAAAGCTTCAATAAGAATATCCCAAAAATCATGCTTGTTACACCAATAGTTCTTAAAAAGAAATCTTTTATTGACATGCTTAATACGATAATTACATACAATAAGAGGATAATGATCAGAACATAAAGGACTATCCACAAGATAGAAAGAATCCGGGAAAGCATTCAACCAATAGTCATTGATTAAAACACGGCCTAATTTTATATGGATCAGAGAATTTACTTGCTGGTTGAACCAAGTAAAGAAATGACCAACCGAAGAAAGATCTTTAATACCAGCATTGAAAATAAAATTGTTGAACTCCATATTAGCATTATTAGCTAAAAAACCACCCAATTTTTCATTAGAAAATCTAAAACAATTAAAATATCCTAGAATAACCCAAGGAGACGAAATATTATTTGCAATATTTTAAAGATCATTCCAAAGAGAAGTACGATCAGCAGCAGAATTAGCCGCATAAATCACAGTAATATAAACTTTACAAGAAGAATTAACCAAAATAGAGCCATGAATAAATTGATTAGAAGTAATAATGCAATCAAAATTAATGCGAGAAGCATCCCATTTAATCCAAATTCTACCAGGTAGAGAGTTATTAAAATTGTGACAATCACCTTCAATATTGAACAATTTATGCTTAGCCGAAAACCAAGGATCTAAAGCTTGATCCAATTTCACCTTATTTTCAAGAATACAAAAGAACTCAATATTAAATTTAGAAATCAGCTTTTTACAAGCAATAACCCTATCAAGATTATGAAACCCTCTAATATTCCAAGAAGCAATATTAGACAAAAACATAATTATTTATTAGAGGAGGTAGTTGCCTTTTTGGCCAATCTGGATCTAGCAAGTTTACCCGAGCCTAAAGAGACTTTAGAAACAGTTTGATCCTTAATATATCCAACCTGCATATCAAGTAATTCTCTAGTAGAATTAGCCAAAGAAAATTCTACCTTACTGCTTCCAACATCAGCTAGATTATATATCCATCAAACCATCCAAAACCTGGAACTTTTTAGCAATAAAAGTGTCATTTGAAGCACCGTTAGCTAGAGGCAAATTATTATCCATCACAGAAATAGAATTTTCTAGAATTTCTAATGAAAAATCTTTAGAAGGAGAATTAAGATTATGTAAAACCTCTTTACAAACAACAGCAGTAAATGTCTAAATTATTCAAAATAAAATTCTATGGCAAAGAAACCTTTTCTTTTTTAACACAAATTAAATTTCCATCCCTCGATTCTTCAGGAATATTAGAAATAATTTATGTATTAGAAATAGGCAATTCTTCAGAGCTAATCTTCAATTTACTAGAATCTTGATTGGCAGTATGATTATTTTGCTCAAACACATTTTGAGCTCGTGAAGTTTGTGTAGAGCGAGTAGATTTTTACCCATCTAGTTTTACTTCTCCCTCTATCCAAACCGATCTTAGATTTTACTTTTTCTTGCACCGGATTCTCCTCCAAAGAATCTTTCAATTTTTCTGGACATAACGAAAAAGAATGGACTAAAGAACCACATCCAAAGCATGGAGAGGACTTCCAATCATACACAATATTTAAAGAACTAATGTGACCAGCAATAGAAATATTCACTTCATCAGGTAGGGTAGAATCTTTATTAATAAGAACACGGACCCTAGCATAGGTAAGTCTCCTTTGTTCCGTTGTTAAAACATCAACATAAACCGGAATACCCACCAGACTAACAATCTTAGAAATACCCTTAGGCGTCTAGCAAACTAAAGGTAAATCTATTATTTTAATCCAAATCGGAATTGAAGAGAATTCCTCACATTTAGGACGAAATAAAGGAGACCATAACTGTAAAATAAAAGGTTTACCAAAAAAGAACCACGGTCCTCCAGACCACACAATATCAAAATATTCAGAACAAGAAAACTTCAGAAGGAAAAAACCCCCACTTAAAGCCAGAAGAGTAAAACTACCTTTCAACTTCTATGCTTTAAGCATTACAGCATGCAAAGCTTCAAAATATGGTCATTTACCTAAAGAATATCCGACTAAAGTTAATCCCCATTTTTCTGATTCCGAAGCAACCACTTCTTCAGAAAAATATGCAAGATTAACCAAAGATTTAACAAAAGAAACATAATAAGGTTTAGAAGAAAAATGACTAGATGACAACAAACCATTCCAAGCTTTCTTGCTATTCGGCGAACTCCGGATGAGCCATCCAGAGATTTACTTGAAGGCAAGGGAGGAAAATCTTTCGCAAGATCCATAGAAACACAAAGAAAAACGAAGCGATCCAAAAAATTAGGGCATCGCTTACCAAAATCCTAGAATCGCCTCTTTTCCCAAGAGCTTCTCTCGCCTTGTTTTGCAATATTATTAATTATAAATTTAAAGATATTATCAATTATGATTAGATCAATTAAATCATATTTATTATATATTAATATCATAATTAATTATTAATTAATTGATATTTAATTAATAAAAATATTAAAATTTTATTTAACCCTCCCGTCTAGGGTTTGCTTTGCCTCGTCGCCGTTTTTTCATTGCTGCTTCCGCGCAGTTGATAGAGTCACTTCTTTTGTTCTTCTATTCACCTCCTTTGATGACGGCGTAGTTCCAGTCGGATTGGAAGTAAAGACGGCGGTAACAATCTTTCTTCTCTTTCTCTCACTTCTTCCGTCAAATCCTGTAAATCCGCCGAACAATCGGATTTAGTAAGTCCCGGAATTTAAGGAAAAATGGGAGAAAACGTGTGAAGTGAAGCCTAGACTTATCGTGAGATTTAATTTTGTGTTTTTTGGCGTTTAGCAGGAGCTAACTCCAATCCGGCATCGAAACACAGGTGCCACCTAAAATCCCAAACCTCGAGCACAGAGAATTAAGGAAGGCAACCGCGGACGGGATCTAGCTGGAGAAGGAGGTGGCGGTGGTGAAAAGACAACAAAAAGGTTTCGTGCAAACCCCTCAATGCCTTAAGCGTTTTTCGTCAATTAGAATAACGAAATATTGTGTTCAATTTAATCTTGTTGCCAACGATTCTATTAAATCTTTAGGATATTATTTATGCTAAGCTGTTAATTATAGATTTTCTATTATGCTATACAAATGGGGCGCAAAAACCCTAAATTCAATACACAATTTCCCAACCTTGCTTGTCTAAAACCCTAGTTTCAATCGCAAAAAGCATCGCCACCTATTATCTACCTCCATTGACGAAATAAGGAGATTCTCGTCACAGCGGATTATGCGAAACAGCTGCGGCTTTATCTTCATGATCTAGAGGGCTTCTTTGATGACATATGTGAGCCTGGAGATTGAAAGCAAGCCATTGACTATCGGGAAGGTAGCGACAAGCAGATGAAGACGACGAGATGCATAAATGATTCGAATTCTGATTTAGTTTGCAGATTTTTCATTACATCTTTTTTGAGATTCCTTTTATTTAGTGATCTGATTCGTAGATTTGGGAAGAACTCATCACTGTCGTGAAACGATCTGTTTTACAAATTTTTCATAAAATCATGCTGGTAGGGGCTGTTTGTAACCAAGTAGGATTTAAGTTAAGTGGGATTTAGTAAATTCTGAGAGTGTTGAATCTTAAAAACTATTTGGTATGATATATGTTCAATCATAATAAATCTCGAGGATTTAAGATGGTTGGTTCATTTATAAATTAAATTTTATATATTTTGAATTTAATTTGCGTGTTAAGTATGACTTACTTATTTACTTTAATTTTAATTAAGTTATAATGATAGATAATATAACTAAGAGCTAATTTATATTACAAATTTTCAAATTAGTTATTTAGGTGTTAATTGTCATATTACTTATTTTCTAATTGTATTTTTGAACCCTAATTAATTTATTAATTATTGTTGAAATTAGAAATTATTTAACTAATGTTCATATTAATGATTTTATTAATTGCTTAAGTATTATTTAATTAGTTTTAATTATTAATTATATTGTTAATTATCTCCTTGATTAGTTAAACATTCAACTTCTAATTAATTATTTAATTATTATTTACAACATTAAGTATGTAATTAGTTTTAATGATCAATTATACTACTAATCAGTTAGTTAAGCTATATTAGATTACTCAATTATACTATTAATTATTTAATTAATCTAATTAATTATTAATATTTAAATGACCTATTATTCAACTAATCAACTATTAATTATTTAAAATTATATAAATTAAACTAATCAGTTAACTATTATTTAGTAATAATACTAACTTTGATTAATTTTTAATTAAATGCTTAGGGTTTGCTTTTCATCTTCTTACCGTGTTGCTTTGTTGCTTTCACTTTTCCTCGTCGTCATTTCTTCGTGGCTGCTTCGGCTTCACGTGCTATGCGTGCAGGAGCTCGCTCGCTGATTTGCCACCTTCAAAGGCCTCAAATCGGAAGTCACAACGGGAGCTAGCTCCCTCGCTCGCTACGTAGGTAACATTTGCCTCCTCCTTCTTTCATGACGGGACCTAGCTCGCTCGCAAGCTCATAAATTCTATTGTTTGTAAATTCTTAAATCCACCGAATCAAGGGATTTACTAAATCCAATATTTATGCTATAAATCCTTAAACCCAGGATTTATCGAGGACTTGGATTTACAGAGTGCTTGAAAACTTGGATGGACTTAACTCAAAGTCAATGTAAAATTATTTTAGAATTTTACTACTCATTAATTATTATTTGAACTATCAATTATATATTTGATAATATATATTTTAAGTTATATTAATATTTAATTATTAATTATATTGTTAATTAAATTAAATTAGACAATTAATTTATGCACTAATTAAGTAATCATACTATTAATTATTTAATTATTTTACTTGATTATTAATATTTTAAATTATATTAATTAAGTTAATCAATAATATCTTGAGCGTCTAGGGTTTGCCTTTCATCCTCGCTTTTCGTCGTCGTTGTTCGGCTTCGTTGCTTCGCAGGAGGTGTAGAGATTTCGAGAGTCGCTTCTTCGTCTCCTTCGTTGCTGTTCGACTTCACTCCTTCGACGACTTTCCCTTACTGTCGGATCGGAAGTTACGACATTTTGATTGGAAGCAACAACGGGAGCTCGCTGGCTGTGAAGGTAACTTTCTCCCTTTCGCGAGCTTCTTCGGCCAAATCCCGTAAGTCCGCCGAACTAGAGGATTTAGTAAATCCGGGATTTAGGGCAAAAAGAGGGAAAGGGAGGATATATTCCGCCGTGAGATTTACGGGGCGCTCAAATCCCGTTTGGCAGGATTTAGCTCAAATCCTGCATAAATCCTGTTGCCAAACGGCCCCTAAAGTTTCTTATATTAACTAGTAATAATACATCCATTTCTTGATGCAACTTACAACATTACGATTATCCTGAAATTTAGTTCATTATTTTTTCTTACCTTCTTTCTGATAAATTCTTATTATTTCATTTGCAGTTATAAGCTCATCTGGTTCTAGATATATATTGACACGATGGTTCAGTACAACTTCAAAAAGATCACTGTTGTTCCTTCGGGAAAGGAATTTGTGGATATCATCCTTTCAAGAACTCAACGCCAAACTCCAACTGTTGTTCACAAGGGATATGCCATTTCACGTCTTCGTCAATTTTACATGAGGAAAGTGAGATTCACTCAGCAGAATTTTCATGAGAAGCTGTCCACCATTATTGAGGAGTTCCCTAGATTAGATGACATTCATCCATTCTATGGGGATCTGCTCCATGTCCTCTACAACAAGGATCACTACAAGCTTGCACTTGGCCAGATTAATACTGCAAGGAACATCATTGGAAAGATTGCTAAGGACTATGTTAGGCTGCTAAAATATGGCGACTCTCTTTATCGGTGCAAGTGCTTGAAGGTGGCTGCCCTTGGTCGGATGTGCACAGTTATAAAGCGAATTGGGCCGAGTTTAGCTTACCTGGAGCAGATTAGACAACATATGGCTAGGCTCCCTTCTATAGATCCCAACACTCGGACCATCTTGATATGTGGATACCCAAATGTGGGCAAGAGTTCTTTCATAAATAAGATTACTAGAGCTGATGTGGATGTCCAACCTTACGCTTTCACCACGAAGTCCCTCTTTGTTGGTCATACAGATTACAAGTACTTGAGGTATCAGGTGATTGACACTCCTGGGATTCTTGATCGGCCATTTGAGGATCGCAATATTATAGAAATGTGCAGCATCACCGCACTGGCACATCTTCGATCTGCTGTTCTGTTCTTCCTTGATATCTCTGGATCATGTGGATACAGCATTGCTCAACAAGCAGCACTGTTTCATAGCATCAAATCACTCTTCATGAATAAGCCTCTTATTATTGTTTGTAATAAGATTGATTTGCAACCCTTGGATGGTCTTTCTGAAGAAGATATGAAGTTGGTTATGGAGATGAAAACGGAAGCTATTAAAGCTGTTGTGGCACAAGGTGGGGAACCTAATGATGAAGGGGTTCTGGTGACTATGAGCACTTTGACCGATGATGGTGTTATTTCTGTTAAGAATGCGGCCTGTGAGAGGCTGCTGAACCAGAGGGTGGAAATGAAGATGAAATCTAAAAAGATTAATGATTGCTTGAATAGGTTCCATGTCGCGATTCCGAAGCCTCGTGATAACAAAGAGCGACCTACTTGTATTCCTCAGGCGGTTCTCGAGGCCCGAGCAAAAGAGAGCAAGGAGAGGGAGAATAGGAAGCTTGAAAGAGATCTTGAGAATGAGAATGGTGGAGCTGGTGTCTACTCTGCTAGTCTGAAGAAACATTATATTTTGGCAAGTGATGAGTGGAAGGAAGACATTATGCCTGAAATCTTAGATGGGCATAATGTCTACGATTTTGTGGATCCTGACATCTTACAAAGGTTGGAAGAGTTGGAGAGAGAAGAGGGGCTCCGGCTTGAAGCTGAGTCAAATGAAGCAGAATTTGAAATCGATGGCAAGGAGTTGACTCCTGAGGAGAGGGAGGCTCTCGCGGAGATTAGAAAGAAGAAAAGTTTGCTCATCCAAGAACATAGAATAAAGAAGAGCACTGCTGAAAGTCGCCCTACTATTCCTAGAAAATTTGATAAGGATAGAAAGTTCACAACTGAAAGAATGGGGAGGCAGCTGTCATCCTTGGGCTTGGATCCATCTTCTGCTATTTATCGCGCAAGAAGCAGGTCGGTCTCTAGAAAGGGCCAGAAGAGGGATAGATCATTTGCTAGAGATGCTGAAGCCATGGATATCGATGATGAACGCAAAAGCAAGAAGCTGCGATTGAGGTCAAGGTCGAGGTCGTGCTCACGACCGCCTGGTGAAGTCATTCCCGGAGAAGGATTGAAGGACTCTGCTCAGAAGCTGAAGGCAATCAAGATTAAAAAGAAGTCCGAGAAGGTGAGAAACAAGGCAGCTCGTCGGGGAGAGGCAGATAGAGTCATTCCTAATCTCAAACCCAAGCACTTATTCTCTGGAAAACGCTCAATTGGAAAGACACAGAGGCGCTGAAATCTACAAGTTATCTATTTGAACTTATGCTCGCATTCTATGGTATCATATTGCTTTTTGCAATTCCCAATTTTCGCAAATTCTCTTCTTAATTTGTTTGGATTTGAGAATGGTTTGTACTAAACTGGGAGGATTTTTGTTCCTCATGGCAAATTTTGTTCGTCCTTTTACATTTTTTTTAGATTTGATAATACGCTTATGTCATTGGTTGCATTTCCTTGACACGTTTTAATTATATGCTTTCTGGTAAGCCATTTGAACTGCCTCTAATTCGAAGTACTTTATGGAATGGCACTCTCTCTTTTCTGATGAATATTAAAAGAACAGATAAGGATGAATATTTTAATGCTGATATTATGAAAGTCATTTCAGTGCTTAGCATGTTTGTAGCCTTTACAGCTGAAAGTATCTTTCTGCCTAGGAGCGTCAATTTTGGGTCATCAGTCGGTTCGGGTCAAATCTCGAACTAACTCGACACTATTCAGGTCAACTAGAATCCAACCCGATTTTTGAAATGGGTTGAAAACTCCAATCCAAACCAACGGGTTCGGGTCAACCTAAAATCAAAATTTCCGGATCAGGTTTGGATCAGATTTTTGGGTCGGATCAAATATTGACACTCCTATTTATGCCCTCATCTTGATCTGTTCTATTAAATGCAAGTCTCTAATAAAATAATAAGTCATCAAGTGATCGTAGAATTGAACTAAAGAAAATGCTTTCTGCCCACCGTTTGTGAAATTTCTAAAGTTAAAAAGAAACGTTTATCCCCAACCCCACAATGTCTACAAGGTACAGTTTATTCTTTATTGAGAAAAAGATGATAGCATTCATAAAGAATCAAGCTTTAGTTTCTTCGTCAGCAAATTGCTTTATGGGCAGAAATTCTTTTACTTTTTGGAAAGAAGTTTGGCTTAATTTATTTCAATTCAACTTTGATTAGAATCAGATTTACTTTAATATAAATTCATAGTGATTGGTACTCTGTTTAATTTTATATGGAAGTAAATTTATGGGATGTTTGGTTCGAAGTATTTTGAGTGTAGAGTAAACAACATGTACGAATCTTGAAATTTTTTGTTTGGATGGATGGAAAATAAATTTAAGATAGTTTGTAAATGCATTTGAAATTCACCATTTAGTTCATTTTGAGCCTAGAAAATACATTGTGTAGTCACTCTATTTGTGATGACAATGATGTGACATTGCTAGCTCATAATGAGCTTTGTGACTTTTGCCTCTTGACCTCCACCTTCATCTTCCTAACATCATGCGATGCCTCCGACCTTTCTTCTCCTCCAAACACGGAGCTATTATTCTGTGTGGACACCGGACGGTTCTCCCATCCGGTTACGCTTAGGTACCGAGCAGTACCGAGCGTGGTACATTTTTGGGGTGATGTGGCACATGTTTATTGGACTCCGGATGCCATCCAGACTCCGCACATAATAAAAAATCCCAAACACGACATCTCGAGCAATCGGGACAACGAGCTTCGTCATAATTTCCATTGAATGATCAAATTTAATCTTTATTATTCTTTTGGAGATGTCAAAACTACAGGTAACTTTGTTGTCTGTAAAGGCATCAATTCTATTTTACAGGGGCCCACCGACTTTGATTCCAATACCATTTTGAGTGGCTTTAATCAACCCAAAACACCTATATATTCAAACTTGCCTCCTGAGTTTCAATGGCAACAACCTATTATGATGATGCTCCTCAGCCTTGGCAGCAAGCAAAGAATCCATGCCATTAGCCTTTCGAAGAGGTTTGGAATCAGAGAAAGCAGAGCAATCCTCGTGCAGAAGAACATAAGGCGTCCCATTTCCTTGAAGCAAATGATGTGGAAGATCAAGTCTCAGTTGAAGCATTTCTTCAGTTCCAGCGAAGGAAGAAAGAGGTTTGGATACGATTCTGAGAGTTATTTTCAAAACTTTGATGATGGTTTCATCAAGGATTTGTACTAAGTTGCCTGCTTTGTATTTTCATCTGAATCTTATTCACAAGTTCGCTACTGATAAGGCTTTAGGCTTCCAGTTTTGGCCATTTTATTCAGTGTTAGGATTCGTTTGGGACGGCTTTCTTCCTGCTTCTTGAAAATTTTGAACTAAAAAGTTGTTTTAAGAAGCAGTGAGAAAGTCATCCTAAACGAAGCCTTAGATATTTGTGAGGAAGAGTTGAAAGTTTAGTACTTTACATGTTTTATTTGGCTTGAGTTGCCTTTGTCTTAGTCGATCTTGACTCAATAAAAGCATATTTGTTGTGTTAACCCTTATGAGTCTCAAAGTCTAATAATGTTTTGATGTTTCCAGATATGTATTGGAAGGGGAAATTATTGGGTCAGGTCACCGGACACAATTTACGTTCGATATTCATAGTACTGAGCAGTACTGAGCTCGGTACAGTGAAGTACTGAGTACCGAGCAGTACTGAGCTCGGTACTGAGCAGTACCGAGCTCAATATTGCGCGGTACTCCTCAGTATCGAGTAGGAGGTGATGTGGCGCATTTTCATTGGGCTCCGAATATGTCTGTGTGTTGACCCAATAATTTCCCGTATTGGAAGATACTATTGATTTTTTTATGTGCAGGGCTTTGTGGCTCATGCATGACATGTCCTATTAGTAAGGGCTCCATGACTTCAACCATTCAATTTATTTAATTCTACTTTTGATCAATTCTTGCACTGATATTATAAATGTTTACAAAATCTTATTGAGTTGTCTCATAGATATCAAATTATTATAATATTTCACTATTATAGTCATATTAATGGCAAATCTTAATTATAAGGAGCTCTTATTATAAAAAAGCTCTCAAATTCTTAAAAAAAAACATTTCATATTCTAATCATTTCAGATTCTACTCTGAGTCATGAAGCTTTTAAAAATAAAATCATAATCTAATTGAACTTAGGTTTTATTTGGGACGACTTTTTTAATACTTTTTATAGAAACTTTCTAGTTCAAAAATTAAAATTTTATTATCCCGAACGGATCCTTCATCTAAAAATATGCCATTCTATAAAAAAAGTTACATATATACCACTTCAAATATCATATTTTACATATCTAACAACCTAACCTTCTTATTTACTTACCTAATAGCTAAAACTTTTAAATATATGGTAACACTTATCGCACGGAACTTCATCGTCCCCAATCCACTGCCTGCTATATTCGTCGTACGCTGGTCATCGATCACCATCATATTTAGGCTTTTATACTCACTCATCATATTTTACTTTGAGGTTTGTTTTTTCTAGCCAAACAAAAAGCCATAAATGCACTTTTTTTCTTTGAACGGGTATCTGCCCGCTGTCACCCCCGAAAGGGCGTTTGGCGGCGTGACTAATTCTCGGCTGACCTAAAAGAGGTGGGTAGAAACTCTCTGGCCCGCACTTGATTGGGTCCCACTTAAAAGGTGCTGCTGCTCGAGGAAAATCGAGCACGGATTGGGGGGGGGATTCCCATTCATACTCGCCCACCAACCAAGCTATGCAATGGTGGTATAAATGTGATTGTTAAGTTTCAATGTATAATTGAAGTTTAAAATTAAATGTGTGATCTCATTTCTTTAATAAGACAGCCTTTTCCGTTAATTTTAATCGGAAAATATGGAAACCATAAGTTCAGATAGCCGTTATGTGGTTTTTAATATAAACATAAATGAAAATTGAGCGTTGAATGGTGAAATCCATGGAAATAAATCCATAGATGTAATGCCAAAAACTATGTAAGCATTTAATGCAGATTGAATGAAAACTGATACAGCTTGATTTCTGTAATGTATATGGTGGCTGATCTTAATGCAGCAGGTTGAATGCGTGCCCTTTAAGCTATTGGAATTACAAAAATTGGCCAAATAAATGCAATATCCTGCTGTTATAGAAGACTTTAATTTCGAATGTCACGCATCAAGACGTATAAGTTGCTTAGGGCATCTCCAACCGAAAATCGCATTTTTCACTTCAAAATACAGTGAAATCAAAAAGTGCCGTGATTCATCTCCAATCGAATGTCATTTTGCCTCATAACCGTCGCTCTCTTCTTTCACACATTTCTTCCACAAGTTCAGTAGAGACCAAAAAATGACGCATATGAACAGTGCGACGGCGTCGCAGTGTTCATCCGCGATCAAATGGCGGACGAAAAGGCGTTCGGTTGCGACGTTTGAGGGCCTCCATTCGGTTGTTTGCCGAACGGTTGGAGATGGTCTTGCAACCAACAAGAAAACTATTGATATAGACCTTGAAACAACAACAACATCAAGCCTTTACCAACTACGTGAGGTCGGCTACATGAATCATTTTTCTTCATTGTGTCATGTTAAAAGTCAAATTCTCTTTTAAATATAATAAAGAAAGATAATTTCTAATATTTTCAAACCAAGTCTTTTTAGGTCTACCTCTACCTTTCTTAACATAAGTCAAATCTAATACCTCTATTGTCCTAACCGTGTCATCGGAAGGCCGTCATTTTATGTGACCAAACCATCTGAGACGACTCTCTCTAATCTTATCTTTCCACTGGAGCTACTCCAATCTTATCACATATATGCTCATTTTGTATCCTATCTCGAAGGGTAAAACCACTCATCCACCTGAGCATCCTCATCTCTGCAACACTTAACTTAGTAACTTCTCTCTCTTGAGTGACTTAGTTTCCGAAGTGGTAGCGACAAGTTGTACATTATCTTTAAGTTGTTATTTATTAGTTTTTGATGGATGTTTGGCTATTTTGTATCCATATATTAAGCACTTATGACAACCCTAGGCTTCGTTTGGGACGGCTTTCTTACTGCTTTTTAAAACGGAGTTTTAGTACAAAATTTTTTATTTTTGTACTAAAACTCCGTTTTAGAAAGCAATAAAAAAATCATCCCAAACAAAGCCTTAGTGTAAGCAATTACACTACTGTTATAATTTCTCTTACATCTGAGCTTCTTTCAATCTCTACCATATATTGTAATGTAAATTTCATTGGATTGCTTGAAGTGAGATCTATAGGATCTTGGTGGTGAAAGCAATAGCTATGCCATCTTAGGATAGTAGTGGAAGGGTCATGTGAGTCTTGGTGAAAATGGTTTTTAGGATTTGGATAAATTTGGTGTTTAAACTTTTAGGCTATCAAAAGGTAAGATTTTCTTAGAGAAAAGGCAAGAAAATCATATCCAAGATTTAGGATGTTCGAAAACGAGTTGTATATTTTTATGAGTTTTAGATTCGTGGCTAAGGACAACAATATTTTTAA